GAAGCCAAGAAAGTATACTACATTTTGATGGGCATGAAATTATTGAGAAAGGAAGCCTTTCAGTCACATATGAAAGTGCCCTCAAAGGTCAGCTGTCAAATTCAGTTGGTAGTAGTTTGGACCCACAGCATGTTGTAGGATGTTACAAAATCTATGCTGGATTATGCCTCCTCATGTATTCACTACTGACAAGGCACGGCGCTCTAAAATGCTGCCCGAGTACTCACGACAAACATGCCATTCATTACGATCCTCAGTGATTTCAAAAACCACAGACGCTCAGTCTGCTAAGTGTGGCTCCCATGACCTCCTCATTTAATAATGCTTCTATCCCTCTTTAAGCATATTCTCTGTAATCATAGTTGGCTTTATTACAACTGGCACACACACACACAAATCAGTAAAACCATGGAAGGAAATTAAAGTAAATTTGAGACTCTCAATACACACAGAGAAACTCCCCTACAGACTATATAGGAGTTGTAAGTCCCAGAAGCAGGGATTTCAAGGGGAGAAAAATTTTAAGACATATTTTTTCTCAGATTTTATTTTAAAACTATGTATTTAATATTTATAACTTTTCTTTCAGAATATGTCTTCTTTTGAAGGTATTTATCTAAGAATTCAAATATCATAAATTAGATTCATGACAGGGTCAATTATGGGGTATTCATGCACAATACAATACTTTCAAGCAAAAATTGCATAAGCCAGAAAGTATAGAGTATAAGGAATTGCAGAGCCTGGAAGTCGGTGTGCAATATGAATAGTAGTTATGTGAGTGTCACGTTCTACCATCCTAAGAACAAGCAAGAAAGAAAGAAGGAAAGAAAGAAAGATCCTTCCTAATGGGGCTTCAGAATACTTTCAAATAAAGTCCAAAGTGACCTCCCCATGCCCACTCGATACCCACCTCTTTCCTGGATCTTACACCTAGGAAATCATGAATCACCCTCACACCCTCAGCCTTCAACTCATCACTATGTCCCAACACAACTGCTTTACACACTTGCTTCTGAGTTCATTGATTCTTCCAGCTTCTTTAGGTGTTTTTCTTTTCGTGTGCTTTCCCTCACACATCCCCTTTTATTACCTCAGTCGTTTTCTGAGCGATTCCTGGAATATTCTTTCTCCCTTCTTCAGCAGGGGCCCAGCTCTCATGTTACCTCCTCACAGTTAGAAGTAGAATTTCCTTTCTTCGAGTGCTATGGTGCTTGGCTTTTACTTCTCCAGTGGATTTCTCCAGACTTTACATAGAGCTGTAGAATTTGTAAAATGCTTTATCTCTCCACAAGATGATAAATTCAAGCTCCCTCTGAGCTGGGCTTTATAAACCCTCAGATCCAAACACAGTGCCTTACAGCCTATCTGGGCCCAAAAGTATGTGTGAGATGGCTGGGTGGTTGATAGATGACCAGAGGGAGATTCTTTATTGCTTTACTCCTCCTGCTGCGGAGTTTCTGAACTTTAAAGTGTCTGCTTGGTATTATTTCATTCTTATTCACCAACTTCATGTCGAGTAAGATTAACACCTTCAAAATGCATCTTTTATCAACATAAATATTTTCAATGCTTGGCGCACAAAATAAAAATACAGTTACTGTATAAACTCTTGTATTAGCATTCTGAAAGACTTTTATGTAGATAAACGTGGTAACAGCTTGGGTTCCAACTGCACTAAAGAATTCAGTTTAATACTCCATCGTTTTTTCAGCCAACTGGTAATTAAAGAAAGGAACAGATCCAGTTTGGTAGAGAATGTCTTAGCCAAATTGTGGTGCTTTGAATGAAATAGTGTGCTAATTGGCAAGTGAGAAAATATTTCAATGTCCCGTATGCATTGCATGCAAACAAGGTAGTTTTAGACACATGCTTATTTCCTCATAGTCTCATTCCACATCATATTTTTCAAATGAAATATGATCATCCTTAGAAAGAATTAGTTCCATGTTTTAACCATGAAAAGACTGTAATATCATATGAAAATTATTGCTTACAAGGATGTGACATAGGCAATAGACCTATTAAAATGACACATGGTCAGTCATGCATATGCTAGACATAGTTGCAAAAAAAATTTAACACATGAGATGGCAGCTGGAAAAAATTTTAAGTGTTCTTTTTTTGACTCTTGAAACTATTTTTAAATTAATCCTACAGCTACAAATAACCTGGCTTTTACAGAAGTATCTAAAGCTAGCTCTGATGCCTAAATTAGGGCCCTCCTACATGTAGCTACGTTAAAGTTCTACTAACATTTCCTTCCTAAAACCCTTTCGATGGACTTTTCTCCTGGGATTAATTTTCACTAGGCTACAATGAAAAGTCTTTGCTTAGCAACATTTCTCTACAGTCCTTCCTTTGTTCTCAAGTAAAACTATCATTTTGCCTTGAGTCCCTCACTGTCATTATGGGCATGTGGGTATGTAGGTGTGATATCCCATCCCTGCCTTGTGTCAAACAATTTCTTCAACTACTTTGCCAAGTGCTCCTCGCAAACTTTGGACACATACGCTTCAAGTGAAACATTTGGATCTGCCTTGAGGAGAAATACTTGTAGCTAGTCTCCTATGTGCTTAAATATTACCTAAATCAATCAGCTCAGATCTCATGGTTATTTCAGATGCTTCTTTGAGTAAACATGGAACACTAAGATAGGAAAAATGTACTGCTAGTAAACGACATTGCATTAAATCATCTTTCCATTAAAACCAGGGAAGAAGGCAATGTGATCACAAACTGTGAAGGGAAGTCTTTAATAAAAGGGGGGTAGGGGGAGTGCTTTGCCGTCTACCTAGTGTCCTCACATAAATTTCTTTATTTTGATTTTTGATCTCTCAACATCCTTGTTAAGCAGGAGGGAGCTACTATTATTTCCTAATTGCCAATCAGAAAACTAGTTGAGAGGACTCGAATCTAACTCTTCTGAAATTTTATTTAAAAATCCTTGAACATGACAGATTAGCAATTTTTTCTCTCTCATTGGAAAGCATGGGAAATGGGTATTTCAATTTTTTTAATCTAATTTTGGCTTGGGTTTTTTGTTGCTGGCTTGTCGCTTCCTCTTTCCTCCACTTGGATCTCCTCTTGGACCTTTCCTTCCTCTTCCCAGACAGGCCGCTGTGCCCTTCCCGGACTCAGCGGCACCCTGTTAGGAAACACTCACTGAACACCCAGCCCAGGCCGACGCTGTGCGAGGCTGCTCCTGCTCCGGGAGAGCACAGCACCTGGAGGAGACCCGGGTCCTAAATTCTTTACCTGAGGTAACTGCCGAGTGTAGAGGCTGCTCAAAGCAAGCTCCTTGATTACAGAAAATTTAAATTCTCCACGAACATTGCTAGCTTTAAGAAGGTCTAAGTCAGATGATTCCTAGTAAAACAAAGCAGAACACAAATCGTTTTCTTGATTTGATTGTCAATACTTCTTGAGTTCCTGCCTTCCCTGTCCTCTGTTATGCACAAATACTAACCACCATGAAGCTTCTCAGAAGCTGGGAGACTCTTCTAAACACTGATGTCTCAGATCAAACGTCACTTCTAATGTCCAAGCTCTTTTCTGATGACTTAGGTGCATGTGCACCAACCCCCAAGTTACTCACTCTCTGTTCTATTTTTATCATAGCCCTCTCTCTATCTAACAATGTACTTGATATGTATTTTCAGTTTTTAGCCTTAATTTGGTATTGACAATGGGACATCCAATTGAATAATTATCAAAGAAAAAAAAAAGCCAAACCAGTCTCATTAGAACTTCATGAAAACTACACATTTCATTATTCTTACCTTGAAAATACAGTCAAGGTAGACAAACCCTCCTCTGAAATACTTATTTGACCTACATTAGAAAAGAGAAACGGGAGGGTAGGAAGGATAGGTTGTGTTCATATGTTCAAACAGGCACTGTCCAAACTTCTAAGTGATAGAAAAATGTCTTTACTTCCAAATTGCTGTGAAAATTGAACATAAATCTGTATAAGTAACTCTTGTCATACTCCCCAGAAATCAGATGCTTTTATATAAGTTTAAAGAGTGACTTTTATGTAACTGGTAAAAGAAATGAAATTCTTCCACTCGACATCTAAACTTCTGACGTGGTAACAGATCTTCTAATGCTATGGTTATGTGTAATCATAAACACTCTATCTCAATGTCAAGTTAATCCATTCATTCAACAAATATTTATAGACTCCCTATTATGTGCCAGTTAGATGCCTAGTGATACAACAGTGAACAAAGCAGAGATGCTGCCCTCAGGGAGCTTTCAGTTGAATGGGGGGATGCACAGACACATTAATCAGATAAACACCAATAACAATCCACAGATGGCGATGCCTGATATAAAAGAAACACACGGGATGCTAGGGGAACATATAACAGGCAAAGCCACTTTGGCCTAGGTTTGGGGAAGGTCTACCAAAGGAAGCAACGCTGGAGTTGGGACACGCATGATTAGTTGTCAACCAGGCAAAGACGGGAATATGGGGAGTGAAGAGAGAGTATGTGTGTTCCAGGGAGTGGGAAGATCCTGTTCAAAAGAGGTAAATTCGCCTCTGCAGCTGTTAGGGCTTTAGGAAAACATGCCTTTTGGAGCGCTGTATAGACTTTTGCTGCCAAATAGCTAAATATACTTGTTTTGTGATTATTTATGAAGTTATATTTCTAAGCAGCTCATGTGAGCAGAATATCATGAAACAAAGTAGTTATGAAGCACAGAAAAGCTGGCTATCTGAATGAACCCTGGAAACTGCTAACCAGATGCTCTTTCTGTGAAACCATATTTCTTTTAAAAATCTCTACGAGGTCTTTCAACACTTTCCCATCATCTAAACTGCGCATTCTTTTAGGGACAAAGGGGGAGAGGTTAACCAAATTCATAATTTATCAGCCCACTTTCCAAATATGCCTACTGGGTTCTGGTTCAGCGGACAATTCTGACTTTTGATCACTTGCCAAGTAAATACTAGGAAGTAAGCGGCTTGATCGCTCTGTTACCTTCGACAGTTGTAAATCAAGACGGCCAGCCTCTCATCGAAGGAAAACTGAAAGAGAAACAAGTCCGATGGAAGTTCATCAAGAGGTGGAAAACCCGTTATTTCACACTGGCTGGGAACCAACTTCTGTTTCAAAAAGGAAAGTCTGTAAGTTCCCCTGTTGTTTTTTACACGTGCACGTTTAAGGTCGTGATTTCCACCAACCAGCGAGGTAGGCATTTTGTCTTGAGTTAAAATACCAATTTTTTTTATTTCTCCATTTTTCAATTTCACAGTGTTATTTTATTATCCATGTTCCTTTCCCTGTCTATTCTGTTCGTTTCTATGTTAGTCGGCTCACTGCCCCTCTTCAGTTTATTATAGGAGCTGTTTTTTGTTGACTTAGTTTTAGAAGATAAACTGCTCTGTCAAACTGCGCCTTTTGTTTCCTTGCGGATCAGCTCCATAAACGTATGGCTCATCGTATTGACTGTGATTTCTTTTATAACTACAGGTTTTATTGAGAGGTGGGGACCTAAGGAAGGGGCACCGTAGGCAGGGAGGAAGAAAGAAAGGCTGGCTTATCTTAAGTAACTTTTGAAATCAACAAAGTTCAATTTGCTTAGGAAAAAAAGATGACTATCTTTCATTCATGTGATATTCAGTTAATGAATAAAACAGGATTCTAAAAAATTAATATGTGTTCATTTAATAGAATTTTCAGTCTGAACTAGGTTGCTTAGCAAATGTCTGTATTCTGAATTTTCAGTGGGAAACCTACCTCCCGTTAACAATGTAAGTTATTCCCTTCTTTTCAAATCAGCTTGATTTATCATTAAACTCTCCTCACTCAGGATCAGGGGAATAAATCTTGGCCTATTTCTTGGATCTTTTTAAATATAATAATAATAATAGTAGCTCAGCAGTGATTATCATCTGCCACACTGGATTGCCCTAAACATCCTTTGAGGTCAGCACCATTATTGCCATTTTACAGATGGGGACACACGGCTCAGAGACACTGATTGGCTTGACCACAGGTTGAGCCGGGAATGAGGAAGGGCCAGGTGGAGTCGGGCTCGGGCAGTATGGCCCCAGCCGTGTCTTGAGTGAGTGCACAGCAGTGCTTCCGTGCGCGCTTAAACACGGAACCAGCGGCAAGGCAGACTGTGTCTGGGTTAGTTAATGATAGGTGTTAAATTACTTAAAATACAGTGCACTAAGAACTTATGCACTGTATCTTTAGAATGCTCATTATAAAATGTATTTTAATTTATTACCCAACCAGGATCAAGTATTGTATATTTGAATTTGACAAATTCTTATCAGTACTCTTTAATTCTTAATCAATACACCTTCTTGTTAACTTTTTAAATGAAAAAGAGACTTTGATGACGCCTACTCTGAACTCATGTTACTTTCTTCATCTGTGTGTATTATAAAATATACAGATGGATTTTTCTGTAGCTGAAGATCTTGTTTAAAGGGAAGTAGAATGGTGTGTTCCATTTAGCCAGTTATTGGAGATTTAAAGAAACATTTTTTTAGCATAGGTTCACATTGAAGCAAGTTTAAAGTGTTAAAAGTGGCCACCTGAATTTCCTGTTTTCAGTAAAGAAATCAGGAATAGAAGTTAAGATGTAGTGATTTCTCAGATCCCTTGAGACAAGGCAGAGCCAGTGCATAGAGTGTTTTTCCTGAACTCAAATAATGACCTTTATACTTCTTGACTCAGAGCTTTTAATAAAGTTTAGAGAATAAGCTATTTTATAGTTGGCTAACTTGTTTGACATCTTTATTGGGAAATAATGGTTTGACATTCCAAAAACCTGAGAAAACATATGGCTCAAATATTGGGAAATAGTATAAAATAGTATGAGGACCACAGCAAAATCGCCTTCATCCCCAGGGACCTAGTAACCTAGCAGTGGTCAGCAGTCTAGCCAACGCTTCAGCCACATCGTAAAAGGCCTTTCTTGTAAATGAGAAAAATGTGCATTTTAAAATAAAAACTAAAAGACTATAGTGTTATTTTCTACTATCAAGAACACTGTTGCATTCTAAAGGTCTTGATCTCTACCAGCCAGCTAGGCAACGGTGTCCTTTGACTTCCCATCCATTTCTATCTTGGCTAATTCACTGTCCCTCTTCAGATAACTATGGTACCATTTCTTTCTTGATCAGTTCTTTCGTTTATCAATTTCTATACTGTAGACTAACCGAAAGAAATACAATTTTATTAGCTTACAGACAAAGTATTGTCTAGTGCAGATAACTTCCAACTTTATCCTATATGTGCCCTAAAAGAATTTGGAAAGATCTATATTACCTATAGCATTTTAAGTTGTATCAACACTTTTATCATAAGTTTAAACACTTGTGAAAACTGTAATTTCTGTTGAACTATAAGTATTGTCATTTTAAAATAAAAAGATTACGTATCTTCTTTAAACATAACCATTGAAATTAAATACCATAGCAACTTGACACCTAACACTACTCATTCTTAAAATTACATAAAATAGTTCTTCTTTAATAGAAATGTTTACATTGTTTCATTTTTCCTTGAAGTCATATTTTTGTTCTGCCTCTTCCACAGCATTTCACTGTAATCACCCTGTCATTTTTCACTGCTATAAAACTATGTATATAAATTGAAATTTAATTTTAATTTCTTGTGACCATCAGACTCTAAATATTAAGATTTTTTATTTTTATCTTTTAAAAAATTATATCTTTTATGAAAAGCCATAAGCATAATACCAAACTTATTATTATATTACTAGTCATTAAACATTAAAAAGCGAAATGCTATTGGAAGTGCATCTCTTAACGAAATAAATGGGGAGTGATTATGCGGCCTTGTTTGAAAGATGCTTCCCTGACATCAATATTCTGAATTGCTTTTTCTCTTTGTTTGATGCTCTTGAGATTTTTCCAAGTTGCATAACACACCATAGACAGTTTGGGATGAGTGAGAGGGGTGTCCTTTCATTGCAAAGTGAAAGGAGGGTGATTGTACAGGAGGGTGGGGAAGAGGAATTGGCGAGATCCTCAACCACAGGGACATTCTCCAGTAGACAAAATGGAGCCAGGGATGTTAAAGACCTGAATTTGCTTTAAAGAAGTAGCTGACCGCCTTAAAACTATTCTGCTAGCCCATCGTGATGACCCTGTGTTGTAGACCTAGACTTCTGCTTCGATGCAAGGAAGATGTAAGTCATTAAATATTCCTTCACTTAACGTTTGTAGACAAATCATGCTTCCAACATTCCACAGTTTCAAAGGCACTTTAATCTACTTAAACATTGAAAGCCTTTTTATTTAATTAATACCCTTCCTCAGAGATAGCACAAAGTAAAATTCAGTTTCATGCCTCCCAAATTATCTCAAATTCTGAGTTAACAATGCTCCAAATTGTGCTATTGCATTTTGCTCTATTAATATAGTGTTAACATCAATAGAAAATGATATAAAATCAAAGAAATATGGATTAAGCATTTTTTCAGTCCCGCTGTCTAATTTCTATAAACTGGCTATCTTGTGCCAATTTATGATACACTAACAGGGCCAATTGCTCACTCCTTCATTTTTCTAACGACTCTTCGAGGCGTTGGCGCCCAAAATGACAAAGACCTTGAGCCACATGACGTGAAAGGATTCTGACCCCCTTGGAAAATTCTCCAGTAGCCAGAGATCTTTCCATCCTCTGGGGGCCAGCTCACGTGTTTTACTCCCCACGTGCGTTTCAGAAAGACGACCCCGACGACTCCCCGCTGGAGCTGAGCCAGGTGCAGAGCGTGAAAGCCGTGGCCAGGAAGCGCCGGGGCCGCTCGCTGCCTCGGGCCTTTGAGATCTTCACGGACAGCAAGAGCTACGTGTTCAAGGCCAAGGACGAGAAGAACGCGGAGGAGTGGCTGCAGTGCATCAACGTGGCCGTCGCCCAAGCGAAGGAGAGGGAGAGCAGAGAAGTGACCACTTACCTGTAGGGGTGCGCAGGCCCGCCTCACACCGTTGTCGTTGCCAATGTCAAGAGGAGATAAATTCCCCGAGTCATGTTGCTTTTTCTAAATACCAGCAGGACAGTTGTTCCTCAGAAGCAGCACCCAAAGGTGGCAGGATTCTTGACACATTTCAGAGCCTGGTGGCATCTGCATTAACTTCAGAATGTCTGTGTGACACACACGGCAAAGAAGAGGAGCTGCGGATGGGATGGGGCCGGGAAGGGGAGAGTCAGGGGTCAGGAAGTCTGTGGATATGTCATTGTTCACTGTAAGAAAACACCTTGAAAAGGTACCTGAACTACATAGGAAAAGTCAAATTAAGGACAATGAGGAAAATCATGTAACTTACTTGTAGACATAATTACCTTTATCTTCTCCTAATGCAAATGCAGCAAACACATGGTAAAAGAGCTCTGAAGTTAAGCCAGTTAGGTAATTAAATGCCTATGTTTCAGAGCTACTTATCTGATTATCCCTTTTGGGTTTGTATGATAGGATCTAAAGTTTAGATACTTGGCTGTCTCTCCCATCCAACGCGGTAAGTGAAGCTAGGGTAAGCACAGGAAGCCATTTCTCCATCTCTCAAAATATGTGCCACTGCCATTCAAACTTGAGATTTTAAAGTTCTGTGCTTTCTTCTTTGTACTCAGCCTTTTAATACCTCCAAATTACAAACATTTATTGGGTTTTGCATTACCCATACTTTTTTTTTTTTTTTTTTTTAAGAATTAAGCTGTGGTAAACAGAATTCTAGGATGACTCCCAAGGACCCACACCCTGGTATATAAACTTCTCCCCTTGAGTGTGGTGGAACTGTAACTTGCTTCTAACTAGTAGAATATAGCTGAAGAGACAGACGGGTCTCTCTCGTGATTATGTTACATTATATGGCAAAGGTAAAGAGATTTTTCAGATATAATCAAGGTCCTTAATCAGCTGACTTTGAGTTACTAAAAAAAGATATGTCCCTAGGTGAGCCTGACCTAATCAGATGAGCCCTTTAAAAGATGGCAAACAAGTCAGAGACACTCTTTCACTGGCTTGAATAAGCCAGCTGCTGTGGGTCCTACAGCTTCGAGGGAATGAATTTTATCAGCAACCAGTGAGCTTGGGAGAGGATCCTGAGCCTCATATAAGAACCCAGACCCAGCCAACACCTTGACTTCAGCTTTTCGAAACCCTGGGCAGAGGACCCAGCTAAGCTGTGCTTGGACTCCTGACCCATGGAAACTTTGAGATAATAAATATGTGCTTTTTTAACTTGCTAAGTGTGTAGTGATTTGTTATGCAGTCATAGATAACTAATACAAAAGCAAACTCGACTATACGTAGAGGGATAATTTTTTCCTTGAAATTTATTAACCATGTGATTTAGTATAGAGACCTGGAGAAAGATTACAAGCAGTCAATACCCTTAATTCTAACTTCACTGCTGCTAACTCACTAGGATAGAAAATAAAAAAGAGGCCAATTGAGGGAGGAAACAAGTCACTTTGAACACATAAAGTGTGGGGGTATTGTGAGACACAGGAGTTATTACAAGTGGGAAATAGCATTCTGAAGGTCAAAATTTGAGCTTGTTGGATATATAGATGGTTACTGAATATGTGGAATTAGATGAAATTACTCAGGGTGAACAAGAGAAAAGACCTAATAAGGGCTTCCTTGGGACACCCAGCATTTAAGCAAACGCAGGCCTGGTGGCTGACTAGTGTTCAGAGATGTCATAGACCAGGGGAAATAATGTCACAAAAGCCAAATAAGTAAGGTTTTCGGGGAGGGGAGTGGAGAGGAGGGGAGGGGAGGGGGAAGAGAAAAATCAACAATGTGCAGTTGTCGAGAGTAGTCACTTAATATAAAGCATGACTTTTGCCATTAGGAAGCAATTGGTATCATTGGTAAAACAATTTCCTTGGAGTGATGAGGTAAAGTCAAATTTCAGTGGCCTGAAGAATCAGCAGGAGGTCAGCAGTTTAAAGCAATAATTGGACTCTTCTTTCAACAAAGTGGGGCTAAGATGGACAAAGTGTTTTGCTGTTTGTTCTAAAAATGAATTAGACTTAAGGGACAGAAGTCTAAAATATAGAAAGAGGGAAAATAATCTTGCTTGAGCAAAGTTTTCAGAAGTGATGAAAAAAGATTAAGCAATTTATGGAGCAGCTTCCACACAACAGGTACCATGCCTGGCCTGGAGAGACAAAAATAAAAAACCCAACTCCTCCACTCGAGGAACTTACAGTGTAATAGAGGAGACAGCTGTGTACATGAAAATTGAAATGCACCCTGGCCAGTGTTGCCCAGTGGTTAGAGCATCTTCCTGCACACCGAAGTGTCTCAGGTTCAATTCCCAAGGACATGTACCTCAGTTGCGGGGTTTGCTTTTTGCCCCAGGTCAGGGCACATGCAGGTGGCAACCAGTCGATGTGTCTGTCTCTCATCGACATTTCTCTCTCCCTCTCTCTCTCTCCCCCCTCCCTCCCTCCCTTCTACTCTCTCTGAAAAAGCAATGGAACAAATATCCTCAGGTGAGGATTCACAAAACAGAAAAACTGAAATGCTCTGTGGCAAGTACCTTGATGGAGGTTTGCGGAAACACGGGAGAAGGCACCACTGCAATTGACTCTGAACTCAGCGTGGGCTCCCTCCCTGTTTCCCAGAGTTGTCAAAAAATGAGCCTGCCTTAGAGAACTATTAGGAGTGTTGTGGGCAGACATGTAGCAAATGGTCAGTAAAGGGAACCACCTTGCAAAAGGCAAAGGAGAAAGAGGGAACATGGTCCATTTGCAAAACAGCGGGTCCTTATCTAGGATTGGGACACACGGGGCCTGTTGGGGAATGGTGCAGAATGATGCTGGGAAGGCTGGCAGGGCCATAGTGTAAAGGGCTTGGTTCCATGCTAAGGATCTTGAACTTTTTCTTTAAGATGGTGAAGCCCCATTAAAAGGTTTCAGGAAGAGAGAAATAATTTTGATAGTGGTATAGAGAATGGATTGCAGGGATATCAAATATTATAGCAGGGAGATGATTTGGGAAGTCCAGTTCTTGGAAAGTAGTGAGGACCTGGACTGATGTAGTAGCTGGGGAGATAAAGGGAAATGAAAATGCAGGAAAAATATTGAAAAATGGTCAGTAAAATGTACAGGATACTGATGGATTGGGTGGAGCTGGGGTGTAGGAATGGGGAAGAGTCTCTGATGACTCCTAATGTTTTCTTGGGAAACTTAATAAATGATGGCAGCATTCACTGAGTTAGAAAATTTTGAAGCAACCATTTGAAAGGTGGGGCCGATGGCAAATTTAATTTTAATGTATACATTCAGAATATAGACAAGTGATTCACCTTGGACTAGAGGAACACCTCCTCCTATGAAGTTGGACAGGAAAAGGGTGAGAACAGGTATAGTTGTAAATGATTCTCTAAATATTATTTTTAAATCTACCAGCTCCATCTTAAGAGTCAGTGAGTAACCCTAGCTGGTTTGATTGATTAGGAAAAACTGGTGACTGATGGATAGAAATCAAATATTAAGTGGCATTGCATTAGTTATTAATCATTTACATGCCAATAGTGTGCTCGAACCTCTCATAGCAGAGGCTACAGTAAAGCGCTGGTTATGTACCGATTCTGTTTTCACTCAATGCTTGTCCAGAGAAAGAAGAGAGTGGCCTGACCAGCTCAATGTGGGGGAAAGAATTACCTTTGCTGTTTGTTACAAAGTCCTTGCTATTTCATTAACGGAATGTCTCTAGTTTATAACACAACGCTCAGAGCCTTGGAACCAGAGCTAAAAAGAAGGAAATATATGGAGAGTAAACAGCGTCCTTTCCGGTTTCACTCCGTGATGCAGTAATTCCAAGTGCAGGCAAATTCTCCCGGGTTCAGAATCACACTAGGAATTTCAGAATCATCAGCTTCCCACTGATATTTCTGGCACTTCCTCCGCGTTGCCAGCTAGCTTTCCACAGACTGGCCTTTCCCAAGAGGGCTGCCATTCCTGATCCTGATCTAAGAAGAAACCACTTTTCTAAACATGTTTAAACTTTTTTAAATGTTGGTATGAATACAATTACAATCATGGACAGAAATTCAAGTGGTTTTCATTTTTTATTTCATTTTGACTCTTTTTCCCACCCAGATAGCCATGGAAATATAAATGTTTATGTGTGAGAATCTCATCTGATTATTTCTTGAGAAGGTGGAGTTTGGTAAAAATAAATGTTCGGTACTTTTCTAATACTGGGTTTTCTAGAAAATCCTTAGCTGGTGATGTTGAGGGACATTTACTGGATCATCTTCAATTTATCTCCTTTAAATTGAAATGATCCTTTTGGGTCTATTGACTGACTTATTCTCAGGCATAAATAAAGATTACCTGGATGCAAAGCATTTCCCATTTTAGGAAACAATTGTGACATGAGGTGAGAGACTATGTGAGCCTAATTCAAGGTGCACTGAAGGGAAGTAAATACAATAAATGTCCTCGTCAGAATTTCCAATCCCCAAAATCTAAGGTTTCAGATAAAAGCCCAGAAAAACCCAAGATGTCATCTTGTGTGTAGACCTCTTGGTGCCATTTCTCCCCAAAGATTCTTCTGAAAGACAGAGGGGTTGGCAAGTCAGGGAGATTTCTACCAGGAATTTCTATCAGCCAGTGGAGTGTAGAGAAAGTGGCACAGGCTCTAAACATAGACACATGAAGATTCAAGTCCTGGATCCACCAAAACTAGATTACCAACCTGAGCAAAACGCTCATCTCTCATTTCTAAGTTGGGATCAGATGGAACAGAATTGGTATGAGGCTTAAATGTCCTGTGAAAGCATCTGCAGAGAACCTTTAAAATAGGTGCTTGATAATGACACTCCACTAAGGAAGAAAAATATCCTCCCAATGAAATTATGATCCGATGACTTAATAATGTCCAATGAGTAGTGTTTTACTTCAAAATGTCCTTTATCTATTATTTGAGGGATTTGGCAGTTTCTT